CACACACACACACACACACACACACACACACACACACACACACACACACACAGCTCTGATTCACAGATATTTAACTCAACTAGTGTGAAAACAAGTGAAATATGGGGACTTTCTAATGTTTTAATTTTAATTAACTAATTTACAAACTGTCTTGTGAAATTTACCAGCAAATACTTGGATTTTAATATTATTGTAAATATTACTGGATGATATTTTAGGAGTAAATTAAACTTCCAAGATAATAAACTTGCTGCTGTGAAGACATCATTCTGACCGTCAGGAACATTTTAGCTGTTTCCAGCCAAACTTGATGGATCAGCATCCCTGTTTATGTGCAAATGGGCTACAAAATAAAGCTGTGTATTGGTAAATGATGCATTTAATTGCACTACTCCAACTATATTGTCTCTCTGAGTACTGTTTGAATTAGTGTACATGTTTTATATTTTAAAATTTAATCTATTTTTTCTTTTTAATCCTGTTTTTTCTATATTTCTTATATTTTATACTTATTTGCACCTTTACACCAAAGCATATTCCTAGTCTGTGAGTCCTGTTCATTGACAAAGGCAATAATAAAACTGATTTTGACTCTAATATCACGTCACAGTTGTCGTGATATGATATATTGTGATCATGTAAGTCGATATGTTGCCATTTTTCYCTGCTAAAGATTCAAATAAAAAAAAATTCAGTTTGAACGGCACACCATGCATTACTAGCCCTGTCACCATAACAAATTTGGCCTCAGAAATTATTGCGATAAACAATAACATTGTTTGGAGACCATTTTAGAACACTTTACAGAGGTTTATGAAMGTTTATAATATTTGCGTACATTAAAAAGTTACGAACTGACCTGAGTCAGAGGTTGTGAAAACACAACGGCAGCTGCTGAAGTGGTAAAATCAGGCCCCACCTCTTATCCATGCYGGTGCAGTTTATTCTTTGTGTCTCCCTCTGGTTTCTAAAAACAACTAAGATCGCCTGCACRCCACTTACGAAATTTATGGAAGTTAATGAAATTTAGGTAAAGCTACGAACGGACCAGGAGCGATAAAATCACGTGAAATCATAAAATCAGTTCAGTCCTGCTGCTTACCAAGTTTGAAAAAAACACGTAGTATAAATAATAATAAATAAAAAAAACTCGGAGAACCCAAGGAGGGCGCCCTGAGGAGTCACCAGCTGAAAGAAGGAGCAGCTAAGCTAGCTAGCTAAATGCCTGTTCATGCGGCTCTGATGCTACGGAGTTAGAGATCATGAAGCAACTGGAAACAGCTGACGTTGAGTTCACTCCTCCCTACAKTAAAGAGCAGAAAAGAGGAAGACGTAAAGAAAACAAACATGCAGGAAATTAGAAATTATCAACCTCATTTTAATTTATGAGATTAATTGATTTATTGCTCATTTTGACAGGCCTATGCTTTATAAATCTAATAAATACAGATTGTTTTTGATGCAATGGGAAGAACACTGAACAACGGTGAGAACTGATTTTGTATTTTATATTTCTTCTTAAATCAGCCAAACGGCTGGCTGACTGCTGATAATCAAAAGTACAACATTACAATTAATAGAGTGCTTTAGAGAATCGATACGGTATCAGGAAATAAAATTTTGTGATATTTCAGTTCTACTTTGATAACAATCAAATATTTTGTGATGAAAGCTTGAACCGTTTAGAGACGGTTTCTGGGTTTATCAGACACACACACTCTCCCTCGCACACGATGTGTATTAGTGATGGAGGCAGTTATTCCAGCTCTCAACATCCTCCTGAGGTGCAAACACACAACAGTCCCAGAGAATAACACAAACACACACACACTCCTCCTGTCAGATACACGTCGTGCAACCTGTGCCTTCAGATTGAAGGTTTCTCTGTCCTACGACTGCAGTTTTATCAACTTTAAATGGATCCATATTAGTTGTAACATTAAACTTTATTTGATAAACATTTATTTTAACTATAAAATAAAGACTGTAAAAACACTGTAGGATGTTCAGTTTTGTACATTTTTAAACTAAAATTTAAAAAATATATTACACGGGTGGAGCCATTTTATTTCCACACAAAGCATTCTGGGTAAATGATGACGTGGATAGGTCCTCGGTGCGAGGCTGCTAGCGAGCTATATCCACCCTGAAGGTTAATCTTGGACAATATCTGATGATCGACTCTTTTAAATGAAACCAGAGAGCGTTGACAGAGAGGAGAAGGTAGAAATGACTCAGCCTGGAACTGAAAAGATGGATGGAGGACAACAGAGCTGCTTCATGGAAGAAGAACCTCAGATTAGCCTGTTAGCTTTAGCGCTGACGCGATATTGCTTTACATGTATTAATTTGGCGCTAGCGCAACAAACAAGCTAAACTGTTGTCCTCCATCCATATTTTCAGTTCCAGGCTGAGTCATTTCTACCTTCTCCTCTCTGTCAACGCTCTCTGGTTTCATTTAAAAGAGTCGATCATCAGATATTGACCAAGATTCACCTTCAGGGTGGATATAGCTCGCTAGCAGCCTCGCACCGAGGACCTATCCACGTCATCATTTACCCAGAATGCTTTGTGTGGAAATAAAATGGCTCTGTCCGTGTTAATATATTTTAAAAATGATAAAAACTAAACATCCTACAGTATTTTTACAGTCTTTATTTTACAGTTAAAATAAATGTTTATCAAATAAAGTCTAATGTTACAACTAATCACGGATCTCTTTAAAGTGCCTGTGACATCAAATTTTTGTATTAGATATGAATGAATTTTTGGAAAAATAGCATTAATAAGGTGTTGCAAATCAAATTTCACACCACTGAGAAGAATCGTTCTTGAAATATTCACATGTGAAGAAACAGGAAGTGATGTCAAAGGGGAATGTCTGCATGTGAGCAGAGTGTTGCTACAATACTAACAACACAGACCGTAGAGAAGAATCTGATGCTTCTTTAGGTTATTTTGAAGTCACTATCAGAGAGATGAGTTTTAATAAACAAAGACCAGGAAGTTCCTTTTCTTGAAGAGTTCCCATTTGATGTCACTTCCTGTTTTACTTTTACTGAGCTGAGTTCAAAAGAAAATCTGTCAGTTATGTGACAAAATGTATAAATTCATGTGTATTATGCCAAGTTTCTAAAACAGATAGACGTTATCTTTGACTTTTTGTATATGAAGCATTTGCATGTCACAAGCACTTCAACAATTTAAGGCTCTTTTTAGATTCTAGAAAAAAATTGGTTCTTTAAAAACGCAAAAGCAAAAATGCACATAGTAACAATCAAATATTAACTTAAAAATCTATTTTTCTAATTCATTTATTTCTAAATTTATTTCCAACACTGAGCAGGTTTATAAAAAAGTACATTTTTCTAATAAATAACCATATTTATGATCACTGAAGTACCATAGCTGTACTTCCTGTAAGTCCTCACAGGTGCAATAACAACCATCCTGTTGATAAAAGAGGTTATTCTGGTCCACCCACTGCACACCATGCACAAAGCCCCCCAAAGCACACAGAACTACACCTACCCTCCCTCCACCCCCCTCCCTCGTCAGCCTGACGTGGATAAAATCTGATGCGTGGACTTTCCTCTGCTTACAGAGCTCCTGTTGGTCGTTCCGTCTCTTTATTCTGTGTGATTGTGTGTGTGTGTGTGTGTGTGTGTCTGTGTTTTACTGTAGTTCTTCGTGAGCACAGAGAGGGGGACTTGTTAGCATTGTCCAATTCAAAGTGAAGACAAAGTCAGTCGTGTGTTAGAACTCCAAACCGAGCTTTAAGACGAGCTACAGGAAGCAGCAGCAGGTGTGAGTCAGGAAGGGGTGGTGCGAGGCCGACCACAGGTGCACAACGTCAAGACAAAAATGGCTCCTTTTACTGTTAGAAGGCCCGTTTCAGGGCTTCATGCTGGTTGTCAGGACATGTCTGTGCACGAAAGGAACAGTAAATGTGTCCACATGGTGGTGTTTCTGAGCTGCAGCTTCTTTGTTCAGTTCCTACAGAGAATCTGTCCTGACGCACGAGGACGAACTCATCCCACAGACTGAGATGAAAAGAACAAATCAGTCAGTGCTGCACCTGATGACTGGCAGTTTGTTCGTACAGGTGTCTTTTTGTTTTGGTTTTTTTACAGGTGGGGGTGTGAGGGCAGCCTGGCCAACCTCCATTCTATCACATCTTTGTCCAACAGAATGGAACGACTCAGGACGTCAGTTTAGAACCATCAAGTGCTGCAACAACAAACTGATAAAAATCAACTGAAATAATTGATTAAAAGTGTTTCAACACATTTCATAAGGACTTAATTAGGTCTTAAATAAGGTACCAACCTTGCATTATTTCATTAAATGATTCTGTGTTGAGATTAAATGAACAGTTAAAGCCATGACAGTTTTTGTACAGTTTTTGTTGCATTGTGTGGACTGCTGCACATAYTGTGAATCTAAAAATAAATTTGTTTCAGATTGCAGTTTCCAGGTTGATTTCTTTCAGTCAGATATTTAGGCCTTGAAGGACTTCCTTCTTTAAATGTTTATTTTATTTAAGTTTTCTTGCATTTATAGCAAAAATGCAAAGCAAAGGGGAGGAGATATTTAACTTCCTTTCTAAAAGTGCCTTTTCTCCAGAATGCACCAGTAGGCCTGGCCTGAAATGATATGATATGGTATGCAATGGCACCGTCTGGTCTGGTCTGGTATAGTATGGTCTGGTAGTCTAAATGTTTTTTTAACCAATTAATCGAAAAAATAACTGATGATTATTCGGTTATTAAAATAATCGACTGATCGGTTATTAAAATAATCGACTGATTGGTTATTAAAATAATCGACTGATCGGTTATTAAAATAATCGATTGATTGGTTATTAAAATAATCGACTGATCGGTTATTAAAATAATCGACTGATCGGTTATTAAAATAATCGATTGATCGGTTATTAAAATAATCGGTCATTAAAATAATCGGTCGTTAAAATTATTGGTTGTTAAAATCATCGGTTGTTAAAATAATCGGTCGTTAAAATAATCGGTCGTTAAAATAATCGGTCGTTAAAATCATCAGTCGTTAAAATCATCGGTTGTTAAAATCATCGGTTGTTAAAATCATCGGTTGTTAAAACAATCGATTGATCGGTTGTTAAAATAATCGGTTGTTAAAATAATCGATTGATCGGTTGTTAAAATCATCGGTTGTTAAAATCATCGGTTGTTAAAATCATCAGTTGTTAAAATCATCGGTTGTTAAAATCATCGGTTGTTAAAATCATCGGTTGTTAAAATCATCGGTTGTTAAAATAATAGGTTATTAAAATCATCGGTTGTTAAAATCATCGGTTGTTAAAATCATCGTTAGTTGCTGCCCTGAATAGATGATGGTTCAGAGGGTTTCAGAGGTAAATAATAACCAGGTGAATTTATCCTTGCAGGAGAAAAACCACCATGTAAACACACGCTGTGAACAAACCAACCGGGCTGAGGTGAAGCTGCCCTTCCAGCCAAGCAGAGGATCTTCAGAACTACATCATCACAGTGTCCGAGCCTGTTCATCTCAGCTTCTTGTTCTGAGCCTGATCAGGTTTGGAAACTGTGATTCTGAACCAGTTAAAGCTCGGGGGGCTTGTTTTATCTCTGGCTTTGATTTTGTCGTCTTTAGCTGCACCATCTCTCTGCACTCCACCATGCAGTTTAGGAACAGACACCGATGGTCCAGCAGAGGCATGCACTGGTCAGTCCACTGCAGGAAGTGAGACGGGGGTGTGTGAGTGGACGGAGGAGAGAGAAAAAATGCTGTGGTTGGGCGGTGGGGGGGCCGTGTGCCGAGTGTGATGTCACGGTGTGGTCACTCAGTGCTCGGGGAGCTGCTTCTCCGCTGACTCCCCTGTCTCCCCTCCCCTGGTCCCCCCCCATACCATCTCTGTCTGTCGCACCTCAAAGGACGGCTCCTCCCCCTCCTGCTCTCCCCCTTCGTCCTCCTCACCAATGTGACAGCTCTGATGGGAGAGAGAGGAGACATCTTTACATCCTGCTCCCACTCGACTCTCCTGAGTTTACGGCACGCCGTGGACCAACCTTTGCCATGATGTCGGCGTACGACATGTACAGATGGTCCACGTCCAGTTTCCTGCCAGGAGAAAACAGGGCAGGGGTCAGACAGGTGCAGTGAGGACACACAGGTGAGCGGAGGACGCTGCGGGACGGCCTTACAGCTTTTCTGTCAGAGCTGTGCGGCTGAAGTGTAGAATCAGCTGATGAAGGGGGTCGGGCTTCGTCTCCGTCTCCTCTTCCTCCTCCTCCTCTTCCTCCATGGCTTTCTGATCATTGGAAACATGGATCATGAAAAACTGCTGCGTCAAAGTATCTGTAAACTTTTTAAGGCTTTAGGTTCAATAAGCACTTGTGTCAAACAATACAGATTTTTAACATTTATTTTATCAGCTTGTCTTCTGAAGATGCTCTGTGTTGAAGGAT